TATGAAAATTACCACAAGAATGCTGAATTATGGGCGAAAATTGAACCCTAGGCTGGAGTCGAACCCTCAGCTCGCACTTTCCGGGCGGGTACGCTATCCGTTAAGCTACGCCGGCTGCTCTTACCCTCTCAGCTCAACGGCGTTTATGCCGTTATGTCTACTGGTTTTACTTGTACTTCGATTTTTTTCTAAATACCTCAGTACTTGCCCCTGAATTCAGTCCAATTTGCTCTCTATTTCTCACAGTCAGCTTTCTTGCGCAGCTCGCTCACGTGCTTTTATTGGTATCATGTTTAGCTAAATGATGCAATAAAAACGTCGATGCGTGAAGTTTCATGAATCTTTCATATTGAGATGTTTTATTTGGAAGTATCACACTGCTCCTTCTGTCAACATTGCTCATGGCTGGGCCTTCACCGTGACATTGCTTTTTTCATTCCCATCGCATCAACAAACTGACAAAAAGTGCTCCCATGCGGACACCTGCAGCCAAATTCCCAGGGCTTGGTTCTTCCTTCTTCTCATCATAACATTGCTCGAGTGAGAATCAGTGTTGTATCCAAGATCAGCCTTTTCACACCGCTTTTACACGATTTGTTGCCCAGAAAAGCCATCCAGGAAGCTTTAAAGCATAAGGCACGATAATTTTATATTTGCTCAATAATCAGTGGTAGAAGGGGTGCTATCTACAAGGAGAAAGACGAGAAAGCTGTGAATGGTCAAAAACCTGCGAAAAAAAACCTTCGCTCTGCACAGCGTTGGACGAGTATCTTTGGGCGAGTTTCCCTTCGGCATCGTGCCAGCGCGACTTTGACAGTACGGCTACGCGAAAGTATTCACATATCCATGTTGCAACGCTCCTTATCGATTGTACTTCAATAAATAACTCAAATGAAGTCGTAGGGGTACAGCGTCGATGTGACCAGGCCTTGTGAGCGGGCATTTGGTGGGTGTCTGGGACAGCATGTTGCACCTTGGTTAGGCGCTATAACGGTGCCCTTGGTTGGAAAGGCCACACGCAGCGCCTGCTAAGGGGTATAATATTCTTTCGTGCTAGACGTATCGACCTTCTACGCCCTGTCGATTTTTCGCGTCTTTTGCCTCTAACGATAAGCTCGGCTCAGTTGACACTGATCTCCAATCTGATTTCTCCTAAACGGTGAGATTTGTTGTATTTTCTCTTTTTGTTTATTTTTTATAGGAAAGACCTCATTCTACTCAACCTTTATATTTTCACAGAAAATTAGACCTTTCACGTGACTGAAACTCGCATCCATAGTTCGTGAATGCTGTGTTTATCCTTTACGCCATCGAGCCCTCACTCTACGTTCCTTTCATTTTTGATAGTTCACTTACCGTATGCTTTGTGTATACTTCATGTCAACTAAAGAGTGGCTTTGTTCGGCTGGTGGGGGAGGTACTTTGTGGAGACGGTCAAGACTATCGTAATTCGCCGCGCTGTCGTGTGGCGAACAGCGTGTCGTGCGGTAGCGCGCGCAGCCGTTTAAGTAAGCTCTTCCTTAGCGACAAGGTTACTCCCAACTTTTGATTCTCCTTTTCGGATACCCTTCTAGAGATAAGGACTTGACATTGGGACATCGCATGCGCGGCCGCGAACTATCAGCTTGCGGCATGCAAAAAGCATCGCGGCCACGCCCACCACCACCTGCCTGGCGAATTACGATTGTCCTGTCACACATCCAGGATTTTGCACTTTCGCTTATTCTCTTGCTACTTCGTGTAAACTAAAGCCTGTAAACTCTTGTGGATGTGTAG